TGAAAATTTTTCTTCCCTTCAGGTCATATGTACCATCTTCCACTTGCTGGGTTGGAATTCTTTCATATACGATACGTTGTTGTGCTGATATTTTTTTCCTTAAATCTTGCTTTTTAATTCCTTTTGTACGTTCCCAATCTGCAACTATGTCACAACGTGGTTGCCAAATAACCTTATAAAATTCAGTAATAAATATTTCTAAAAAAAGGGAAGCAATTGTTAGTGTAGCTTTTTCTGATTTGACAATAGACCTGAGTTCTCTATATCTTCCTTTTGGGAAAAGATTCCTTAACATTAGATGTACAAATGGGATAGGCAACTCTTGGTTAAAACCTGTTGTATGAACAAAGAAATTTCTATTCCATAGATGTAGTTGTTGTATATCCTCTTGATTTAGTTGAAATTAAGTTCAGTTTAAATATTACCTTTTTAAATATTAACTAAAAATTTTTTTTATTTTTATTATTTTTTATTTTTTATTTTTTTTTTTAAATGTTGAATCATGTACCATTTTATTAGAATATATTTGGATTACATAATAATCACAAATATTCTATGAATGATACTTCCAGCTCCAGGCCAGTCCGATCAAACATTAGATATTATATTACCAATAGAATTAAGAATAAAAGTAATCAAAAAGCAAACCAAAATAACATACTATAAACTATAAACATAAAAATTAAAATGAAAACAAAACTAAAAACACATACAAAAATAAAAACAAAAACAAAAATAAAATTAAAAATATTAATAAAATAAAATTAATAATAAAATATATGTCTAAAATTATAAATATAATTGAAAATAGAAATTTTTATTATTTTTTATTATTTTTTATTATTATAATATTAGTTTATTAATATTTAAAAAACTGAAAACCTTAATATTTTAATAAATTAACTAAAATTTAGCTAATTAGAAAAGGTTTACAATTAATTATATTACAAGATTTAATTAAAAAAAAGAAGTATTAAACATTTATGATGTAATTATTAAAGAAGAAAAAGAAATAGCTAAAATCTTATATTATACTTAATAAAATTATATAATTTATAAATAATAATTTAATTGGCTGTTAAAACTAAATATAATATAATATATATTATTATTCAAATTAGATTTTTATTAAAAACAAATAATTTTTTATTAGTAAAATTAACTGAAATAGAACTTTAAATAATACTAAAAACTTAAATCTAATTTTATATAAATTTTATAATAAATTCTAATTTCAAATATATAAAGTTATACAGTTATACTAAGAAATAGAACTGTTGTAAGTCTAGAGTGAAAAAAAGTTATAAATAAACCTTTATTTTATTTATTTGATATAACACAAATTTATTTTCATCTGATGTAGTATGAAATTTCAATAATATGACATGTGTAACCAGATATCATTACATGGCACTATTTGATATAGTTCTTTAAAAATATATATAATCTTTCACTACTTTTTGACTTTAAATTTTATTATCTTGAGAATTAGTAATTAGATTTTAATGATTCTAAACTTATTAGATTCATTTTATTTATTTCATTTTATAGGTATAATATTGACTATTTCATTTTAAAATTTTTGTTATATAGAATTTAAGTTATTTTAGTATTATTTAAGATCTTATTAAAATTATTTTAAATTATATTACTAAAGAATAATATTATTAAAATATAATTTAGGAAATAATAATTTTATGCAGGTGCGTTGCAATGCACCCCCTCTTTTTGGAAATTATTAAATAGTAAATTTGCTGATCATAATATGATCATAAAGATCGACAAATTTACTATTTAAAAATTTTCAAAAAGGAGGAATGTGTTCAAATTTTAAACCCTATAATTTAAATGATTTTTAAATATAATATTAACTTATTTTTTTTTAATTAAATAAAATTTTAATATTATTTATAATAAAATTTAATATAAAATTAAAATTTTAAATTAGAATTTAAAAAAGAATTTTTCTAACTATCACCATAGGTGATGATCACCGGTGACTGAAATTATGATGATCGACCAGCATTAAAAAATATAGTGCCGGTAAAAATTGATAATTCTGGCCAACGGTGATAATCATCTCCAGTGATTTGAAGTAAAAATCTTTAAAAAAACTAAAATATTATTTAAATTAAAAAAAAACAATTGATAAAAAAAATAAATAAAATTATAGATCTATTATTTGATTAATTTAATTAAATTTAATTATTAAATTATTAGAATTATTTTATTATTTAATATAAATTAATAAAATTAATATGTATTTTATTTTCCTATATAATCAATTTTCTTTATAGTTATACATTTAAAATAAGCTATTTTTTGTAATTATAAATAAGTATAACTATAAAAAGTATATAAAAATTAAATTTATTAAAAAATATATGTATATATTATTAAATTAGCAACCAGTAATTGTAAAAAGATGCAATATAGCTTATTAGATTCATCTCATTAAAATGAATTGAATGGTATAATTTCATCTTTTATTTTGCTAGTATTTATACGGCTAGGCATCCCTCTACTTCTTTTTGAGGCATCATTGTGCCAGTATCCTATTATCCCCAAAGGGTAACCATACCACTGAGTACTTATTGTTATAATTTCATCTTTTATGATTATTAGCTGATGAGATATTTAACTAAATGTCAAAAATCAGCATTTTAATATTTCTTGATTTCAGTTATATTTACTGTACTGCTAAACATTTTACTTAATTTTTCAGTATTTAGTGATTGTAAAAAAAATGATTAATATTAATAGCTCTTTAGAATTATATAATTGGGATGAATTAAATAGTAATAAGATTATCTTTCTAAATATGATAGATTGCAATTTATTATCTAATAATTTATTATTTCAAAACTTTTTAAATTTATTTTTGTTTTTTCATTATTTTAATTTTTTTTTTGCAAATATTAAACTTTTTAAATTCTGAATTTTGAATAATATGATCAATAATTTTCAATTTTTCTTTTTTTTTGCAAATATCAGTAAACTGGGTTTTTTAGATCTTGAATAAATATGATTGGTAAGTTTTAAAAATTTAGTTTATTTTTAAAACTTTTTAATTTATTAATTTTTTTTTTTTTTTTAGTAAACTAAGTTTTTCAGATTTTAAATAAATATGATTGGTAAATTTTGAAAGTTTAGTTTACTTTCAAAACTTTTTTTTAAATTTTTTTGTTTTATTTTAAAAAAACTAACTATTTCTTCTTTTGTTTATTTTATAGAAATTATCTTTATTTAAGTAGATATGTGATTTAAAATGACTCACATAAACTCGTATAACATAAATAATATAGTTAAAGTATTATAAAAATTAGCGTAGAATAAATTTTACCATATAAAAAATTGATTTAAAATTTAACTTAACTTGACTCATAAGAAACACTAGTTTTAGGTCAGTTTCTTAAATAAGTTTTAAAGTTTCTTTTCAAAATTTTTTTAAAATTTTTTTTTTTAAATTAATTATTGATATTTTTTTTATTTTTTTTATTGTAAGTTGTATTTTTTAAACATGAAGATATAATAAAACTGGTAAATTTCAAAGAATAATTTTGAATCTTTTTTAAAAAAAATATTTATTAATAATATAAATAAAAATTTAATGACTATTTAAAATGATTATTCTAAAAAATTCCTGCAAAAAAAAAAAAAATTTTTTAAAAAAAAAATGAAATAAAATGATTAATAATATCTTAGAAAGAAAAAAAAGTATTTATATAAAAAAAGTAAAACAGCTAAATATATTTATTTTTTTTTTCCAGAAAACACATCTAAAGCCATAAGTGAGAAATTAAACCAGATACTAGGATTACAACATGACAACAAAAAATTTATTGATTTTAGCTCATTGGACTTGGAAGCTAAAATTAACACCAATATTTCCAAAATTTTAAAACAAATATTTGGATTCTCAGAAACAAAAACATTTTATTTTTGGCTTCACTTCTGCTGGACTCCTTTATTATTCATTTTAAAGAACTAATTTGGATATCAAGATGTAATGCTACTATTGCATGGGAAAAGACTAGAAATATTGGAAGAAAAGAAAAATTAAATGAATCTGAAAATATGGATTGTTATTTCAAATCCTCTCACCAACAGGCTAAACACTTAAAACAGGATAAACAAACTTTAAAAATGAACAATTGTTCAGATTTACAGGAAGATCAAATTGTAGTACTTGATGATATTTCAATTGAGTTGGATTCAGTACAGTCTGAAAATTCATTAAATGAAAATCACATTTTATCAAAGTGTTATAGAGTGGGAAAAAAAGCTCAAGATCAGATGTGTTTACTAATTAGTAATAACTGGTGGTATAGTTGGGCTTATAAGAAAACAAAAAATATTATTAACAATATTATAATAGATCTAATAATAATATAACTAATTTTACTCTGAATTTAAATTCATTAATTTTGAAAGAAAAAGGAAGGGATGGAAAAAAAAAAAAAAAAAAATTTATTTTTTTTTTTAAAAAAAAATAGTTTTAGATTGAATTTATTATTTTTTTTAAAAAAATTACTTTAGATCAAATCTGAAATACTTTAGGTAATTAATATTTATATTATGTATTTTATATATTGATTTTAATTTTAAATGCATAAGCTTTAATTTGAAGTAAGAATTGATCTAAGTATAATATAAATAAAGTAAATAAAAGGAAATTTATATAAAAAAAATATAATTTTACTTTAAAAAATTATTTTAATACAGTAGCAAATTTTTTTAAAAAAAGTAATAATAAAAATAATAAAAAATCTATAAAAATCTATAAAAATACTTTACTAAAAATGGCCAATTTTTTGAAATGATTTTGTAATAATTTTAAAATACTACAAAAATACATTTAATACATCAAAATGTTTTTATTATATTTTTGCTATTATTTTGTAATTGTATTGTATCTAGGTCTATAAAAATAACTCAAAATAATATCACAATAATTTTTTAATATTTTTGTTATTATTTTATTATTATAATATAATTAACTTTTATATTATTTTAATATTTTAATCTCAAAAATACTTTAAATATATCTTGATATATTTTAAAAATTTTACAAAATAATTGCACAATTGTTTTGAAAGCCATTGTATTTAGGTCTATAAAAATATTTCAAAAAATTGGCCATTTTTAGTAAAGTAAATAGATTTAATTATATTTAAATTATAAAGCTGAAATATAATTATAAAAAAAGATAGATGTAAAAATAAAAATTTAGTAATAAAAAATAATTTAAAAGTTATAAATAAATAATTGTTTAAGTAAAAATTAGGGTTGATCACCCTTGGCTCATTGGTTAGTCCGTGAGTCCCCTCGTGAAGCCTGAGTATGGTGAGGTCGTAGGTTCGATTCCGCTGATCATGAAAATTAAAAGAATTTTATTGCGGACACTACTACCAATAGTGTGAAGGTACAGGGATTAGTGTAGGCTGGACTGCATCATGGTAAATTAGTATGTACCGGTCGGCGGCATATTTCAACAAAGAGTCATGGTGTCCTCCTAGCGTTCCCTATGAGGCCATTGGGAAGCCTATTGTCCTGTCTGGATGGTCACTGCTTGCATACCATCTGGGTGAGCTCTTGTCTTGGTGGTCACTCTGCGATACCACTAAGGGTGTGGTAAACTTTACTGTAGAGGTTTACTACGCTAGATGGTCCTCATAGATGGTAAAGTCTCAAGTGCAATGTCTTAGCAGTAGTTTACCTTCTAATAGGTTTAGGCTGATTGGAGACGTTCGTAGGCTCACAGGTATATAAGGTTCTAAGGTGAGGTTCGATTCCTCAGTGAATTTTGACGTACTGGTGGGTGATCCCTGGGTAACTGGGTTAGTTACTTATAATAAAGGGGTGATCCCAGTACCCTTAGCAGCTTACTGTCCTAGTAGTCACTACTATTACTACTGGGGGATTTACAACTATGGTGGGCTTGTATGGTAATTGTGTCCTGTAGTGGGCTTTGAGTGAGGCCATATTAGTAGTCTTAGTATTGCAGTACCTCTAAGCTAACCATCATGGAAGGACTTCTAGATGTCTGCTCTGTTATATCTGCCGTACGTGGGTGGTTGCTCACTTCTGATGGGTGCTAGTGGGTAGTATAACTGTGTCAGAAACCCTGCTACACTACGATCCTTGTGTGAGTATAAACTTGGGTCGTCTTCCCAGTGTGGTATATAGTCAACTCTCTTTATAGTCACACATTTGGGACAGTCCATATTTGGTGATTATTTTACAAGTGTTTTGTAAGTTTAGTGGCCACTACTTTTCGCACCCTCTATTGAAGGCTATGGAGGTAGGTCGTTCATTGCATCATCTTCACTAAGCCATAATGTAATCATCCCTGCCACCTTTTAACAGGGACAATTCAACACCACAACCGAAGCGCAAGGACATATCCCAGGGACCCGAAGGCCTTCGAATCTGCTGAACACCACCCTACTCGTCCTTTAATCCGTTGCATGATACTGTAATGGCTACTATTATAA